GCATTAAAAAGTCTTAAAAAGTCTTGAATTTAACTTCCGTTATGCTGTAGGAACCCTGTATCAGGTAATGTTAAGTTTGTGATATATTTTACATGTTTGCTGGTGAAGATTCTCAGTCATCCAGGTCATAGTCATTCCAAAGAAAAAAAACCCATCCACTCATCTTTGTTTCCAAGTGTGAAGACGTTTCTCTTCCCATCCAGGAAGCTTTTTCAATTCAGTGTTAGTTGAGTTTGAGGCATGTTCTGGCTTAGAAAACATGCATAGAGGGGACCAAACACCTCGCCTATTTCAGCCAGGCCAACAATTCCCTCTAATGACCCTCTTTCAGAGACATAGACAGGTATCGGTCATTACAGCCTAACTAAGAAACCAAACGACCCCCATTCCTAAGGGGCAGACCCCTTCATCCGGTTCAATTTTCCTTTTTTTTGGTCCACTCTATAAAGCCTTGACCTCAAAGCTGTTTCTGACACTTTGTATTGAAAAAGCTTCCTGGATGGGAAACGAAATGTCTTCACACTTGGAAACAAAGTCCAGTGGATTGATTTTTAACTTTTTTTTTTTTAATTTTACAGGTTTGTTTTTTCTTTTTTCTTTTAACTTTTTTTTTATGGAGAAGATTACCACCTGAATGGTTCTGGTACCTTTTTTTTCTGGTGGTGGTGGACATTACAACATTTAGAAGCATTGGGATCATGTAGGAAAAACTTTTGTGAGTTTTCTAGATTCTCACAAAATGATTTTATTGACTTGTTGCCTTGCAGCAAGAAGGTTGTGGGTTCAATTCCTCGCCTGGACTCCCCTGCATGCATGGGTTCTCTCCGGGTACTCCTGGCTTCCTCTCACTGTCCAAAACATGACTATTAGGTTTATTGGCTTCTTTAAATTCTCCTTAGATGTGATTCGGTTTGCTTGTTGTGTGTCTCGGTTTCCCTGTGACAGACTGCTGACCTGTCCAGGGTGTGCCACGCCTCTGACCCGTAGATCGTCAGAGATGGGCACCGGCCCACCGTGATCCTGACAAGGACTAAGCAGGAGAAAATGGATGGATAGATGACATGATGTGGTAATATTTGAAGGTAACTTTTTGCTCTGTTTGCTTCTCCCTGCAGGCGAATACATCAAGAACTGGCGACCACGTTACTTTCTGCTCAAGACGGACGGCTCCTTCATTGGATACAAGGACAAACCCCAGGACTCGGACCTGGCCTATCCACTCAACAACTTCTCTGTAGCAAGTAAGGCATGAGTAAAGCATCCCACCCTTCAGCCTCTACATAGTCAGATATAAGTGGTTAAATATATTTTGTTTTCAGAATGTCAGCTGATGAAGACAGAACGACCCAAACCAAACACATTCATCATCCGCTGTCTGCAGTGGACCACCGTTATCGAGAGGACCTTTCATGTCGACACTCCTGATGAGAGGTTAGCCTTCGTCTTGCCCTCCAGACAGAACCTTGCTGGTTTTGTTGACAGAAAGGGACTCTTGTGTTCAGCCCCTTTGAGTCCTTCAGCCATTTTATTAAAGCACAAAACTTGCCTTTATATCCAACAAATGGCTTTTTCTTATTTTAATATTTTGTTGCTGTTAGCTGGAGGCTACCAAACCAAAAGGCCAGAATCAATTGCTTCTATGTTTCATTCTTTTTGGTACCAGCTTCCAACCTTGAAATGTACTTCTTTGACTATAAAGCAAACAAGCAAAGCACTGCTTAATTAATTTGGCTTACCGGGGAAATATCACTTTAAATATGTTTTCACAGATCAAGAAAATATGTGAGAAAGATCAAACAACTAAGTTAGCTGATTATCTTTAAGTTTATCATACAGTGTACCTTTTTTTTTTGCCCTTTTTGGGCCTCTTCTCTACTCATGCACGACAAGTTTTTTTGGATTGGGCCAATGTATGCCTTATATAGTGTCCTGTGTTGTGTAGTATACAGATGGTAGCGATGGAGATTATCCTCGCACGACCACCTCGCACGACCACTATCGCAAGGTCAGGAGAAAATCAAATATGTTTGAAATCAGTCGTCCCTGGTAAGGTGTTCATGAGAGAATCCTGCTGTAGAAGCAGAACTATGAGCCCATTTACCAGAACCTCTGCGGATGTGCAAACAAGTGAGTTTTTCTTCTTCCAGATTCATGAGTCCGACTAGTGCCATTTCTCGGCGCTGGGTTTGAACGACCACGCACGTGGTTTTTGGACGTATATTGTGAGCAGGTAGATTGCATCGGAGCGTCGGGCCCTAGAGTTTAAGAACATACACTGTGAGGTGTGAATTTTTAAGCCCTGTGGTTTAATTGTACAGATTGAGCTGTAGATGAGTACAACGATTGAAAATATCGTAAAGTGTATGGCTGGCCTAAGGGTTAGGACACTATGGACATTAGGGGTGGAACGGTTCACAAAATCCACGGTTTGGTTCGGTTCACGGTTTCGTGCTCACGGTTTTCGGTTCGGTATATGTTGATTGTTACACC